GCTCTGGGAGGGGAGCGGGGGCTGGTGGGTTAGGGGCGGGGGGGCTGGGAGCCCGGACCCCTGGGTTCTCTCCCCAGCTCTGGGAGGGGAGCGGGGGCTGGTGGGTTAGAGCAGGGGGGGCTGGGAGCCAGGACTCCTGGGTTCTCTCCCCAGCTCTGGGAGGGGAGCGGGGGCTGGTGGGTTAGAGCAGGGGGGGCTGGGAGCCAGGACTCCTGGGTTCTCTTCCCAGCTCTGGGAGGGCAGTGGGTTTTGGTGGGTCAGAGCAGAGGGGGGCTGGGAGCCAGGACTCCTGGGTTCTCTCCCCAGCTCTCGGAGGGCAGGGGGGCTGGGATCCAGGACTCCTGGTTCTTTCCCTGGCTCTGGGAGGGGGGTGGGGGCAGTGCCAGGCCCGGATCTCTGTCCTGGCCCATGGGAGCTGCGCCATAATGGCCCGCGCTTGTGCAATTCGTACGAGGATTCTGCCGTGCGAAGGGGGGGGCGGGACTGCAGGGCAGGAGTGTGTCCCCCCCAATACCACACCGCAGGCGGAATGGCCGGTTTGCTCCTTTATTGGATACATGGAGCCGGCTTCGGGGGGGCTGGGGCGGGTGTGGGGGGGAGGGGTGCGACAGGACAGACCCCACACACACACCCCTGGGCTCAAGCGTTCTTCTTCTTCGGCGCCCCCCCGCACGGCCGCTTGCTGAGTGTGGTGAGGACCTGGTGCTGCTGCTGCCGATACGGGACGACGAAGCTCTCGGGGGACAATTTGCCAACCCCCTCGGCGTCCACCCGGCCCATGAAGATGTAGCTGGAACCTGAGGGGGTGGGGGAGAGACAGAGACAATCACGAGAGATGGGAGATGCGCCCACCTCTGGGGCGGGTCGGCTGGTTACTCTGGGACCCCTCGCCCGGCGCTGAGACGCGCCCACCTCTGGGGCGGGGCGGCTGGTGACACGGGGACCCCTCGCCCGGCGCTGAGATGCGCCCACCTCTGGGGCGGGGCGGCTGGTGACACGGGGACCCCTCGCCCGGCACTGAGAAGCGCCCACCTCTGGGGGGGG